ACAAATTGCAAAGCATTTTCAAGTTATGCTTGTTATCCTCTGCCTAATAGAGACAAGGATATCTATAATATACTTTAGGATAGTTTACATATGCTTCATTTTTAAAATTCCATTAAATTAAATTTTAAAATTGAATTCTTAAGGGAAGTAATTTCTGATAGGTAGTATACACACTGAAGAGGGGGACACCTGCCTGGCTCAGTTGGTAGAGCATGCAACTCTTGGTTTCAAGGTCATGAATTCGAGCCCCACGTTGGGTGCAGAGATTACTAAAAAATTTATTTTTTTAAAGAAAAAAAAAAGAATTTGGGGAGCCCAAGTGGCTCAGTTGGTTAAGCGTCTGACTCTTGATTTTGACTCAGGTCATGATCTCAAGGTCATGAAATTGAGCCCTGGGCCAGGCTCCTTACTGGGTGTGGAGCGTGCTTAAGATTCTCTCTTTTTTATCCTCAGCCCCTCCACCACTCATGCATACTCTCTCTCCCTCTTTCTCTCTCTCTCTCAAAACAAAACAAAACAAAACAAAACAAAACTGAAGAGGAAAAATTTCTTTTAAATGTAATAGGAAGAAATTTATTAACATGTAGAAACTTAAGAATAAACTAAATAACCAATGGGCCAAGGAATAAATAACAAAGGATATTAGAAAATACTTTGAGATAAACAAACATGGAGATGCAACCTACCAAAATTTATGGGGTGTAGTGAAAGTAGCACTGAGGGAATCTTATGGATGTAAACATCTATTTTATAAAGGAAGAAAGATCTCATATTAATATTCCATTCTACCAACTTAAAAATTTGGTAAAAGAGGATTGAAGTAACCCCAAAGCCAATAAAAGGAAAGAAATAATAAGGATTAGAGAGAAGAGAAATAAAATAGATAATAGGAAAGAAATAGAGAAATTAATAAAATAAGAAGTTGGTTCTTTGGGAAGACTGACAGAGTTGACAAAGCCTTAGACTGACAAAGAGAAAAGAGAGAGGACTCAAATTACTAAATCATGAATGAAAGTGAACATATTGCTCTTATCCTTACAGAAAGAAGAAGAGTTATAAGGCAATGCAATAAGCAATTGTATGCTAACAAATTATATAAACTAAGTGAAATGGGAAAAATCTGATTTCCCAGGAAATAACCAACTATGACAAAAACTGAGTTAAGAAAAGAAAATCTGAATAAACCTGTAATGAAAAAAGAGACTGAGTTAGTAATCAAAAAACTTTCACAAAGAAAAACCCAGGACTAGATGGCTTCACTGGTCAATTCTACCACATGTTTAAACAATAATTACCATCAATTCCTCATAAACTCTTCCAAAAGTTAGTAGAGGAAGGAGCACTTCTTAATTCATCTTATGAGGCTAGTGTTAACTTGATGCCAAAATTATGCAGAGACATCACAAAATTTTCTTTCTTATGAATATAGACCCAAAAATTCTTTTTTTTTTTAGTTTATTTATTTATTTTTGAGAGAGAGTAAGAGTGTGAGCTAGGGAGGGGCAGAGAGAGAGAGAGAGAGAGAGAGAGAGAGAGAGAGAGGATCCCAACCACGCTCCACACTGACAGTGCTCAAACCCATAAACAGTGAGATCATGATCTGAGCTGAAATCAAGAGTCAGGTGCTTAACCCACAGAGCTACCCAGACACCCCCTAGACACAGAAATTCTTAACAAAATGATAAAAATAAAATCCAGCAATGTATAGAAAGGATTTTATGCCATGGTGAACTGGAATTTATCTAAGAAATGCAAGGTTGGTTCAACATGTAGAAATCAATGTCATATAGCATCTTAAGAAAATAAGAGATAAAAATCACACAATAATCTCAATATGCCAAGAAAAGGCATATGGCAAAATCAAACACCTTTGCACGATAAAAACATTCAACAAACTCGTACTAGAAGTGGGCTTCCTCATCCTGATAAGGGGCATATATGAAAAATGCACTATAACATCATACTTAATGGTGAAAGCATTCCCTATAATTAGGAGCAAAACGAGAACGTTTCCTCTCACTACTTCTATTCAGTGTTGTATTGGAGGTTCTAGCCAGGGCAAATAGATAAGAAAATAAAATAAAAAGCATCTAAAAATTAAAAAATAAAAAGCATCTAGATTGAAAAAGGAGAAGTAAAACTATATTTGTAAAATCTTGTGTATAGAAAATCCAAAGGAATACACACATGCACAATTTAGGACCAAAAAATGGATTAAGCAAGATGGCAAGATACAATATCAGTATATGAAAATACATTGTATTTCTATACAGTAGTAATGAACAATCCAAAAACAAAATTAAGCAAATGATTCCAATTACAATAGCATGAAAATGAATAAAATATTAAGAATAAATTTGAGGGGCGCCTGGGTGGCGCAGTCGGTTAAGCGTCCGACTTCAGCCAGGTCACGATCTCACGGTCCGTGAGTTCAAGCCCCGCGTCAGGCTCTGGGCTGATGGCTCGGAGCCTGGAGCCTGTTTCCGATTCTGTGTCTCCCTCTCTCTCTGCCCCTCCCCCGTTCATGCTCTGTCTCTCTCTGTTCCAAAAATAAATAAATATTGAAAAAAAATTTAAAAAAAAAATAAAAAAAAAAGAATAAATTTGACAAAAGAAATGCAAGGCTTCTATGTTGAAAACTACAAACATCATAAAAAAATTAAAGACAGCCTAAAATAAACAGAAAGTTGTCCTATATTTTTAGATTATAAGATTTAAGATTGTTAAAATGGCAATACTTCGCAACTTGATCTGAAGATTTGATGCCACCCCATCACAATCCCAGCTGACATTTTGCAGAAATGGACTAGTTAATCCTAAATTTCATATGAAAACTCGAGTGAATCAGAATAGTGAAAATAACGCTGAAAAAGAAGGAAAAAGTTGGAGGACTCACATTTTATGATTTCAGAACTTAATGCAAATGGGAATCAAAAGTGTATGATTCTGGCATAGAAACAGATACAGATTTGAGTCCAGAAAGAAACCTCATACATTTATGGCCAACTGATTTTCATTGAGAGTGCCAAGACAATTCAAATAGGTAAAGAATAGTCCTTTCAACAAAAGGTGTTAGGACAACTGGTTAATTGTGTGCAAAAGAATGAAGCTGGACACCTACCTCACACCATATACAAAATTAAAGACTTAAATGGAAAAGCTAACATTATAAAATTCTTAGAAGAGACGATTGGTATAAATCTTTGTGACCTTGAGTTGAGCAATGGTTTCTTAGATTTGACCTCACTGGTGGAAGGAAACCAGAATATGTCACCTTGAAATATGCCTCTTTGGCATAAAAATTATTTTAAACTGCAGCCAATTAAGAGGCAGCCAATGCAGAAAAAGCTTTTCTGCTAAGGGCAGGATACATATTTTCCTTTTACTGGAGACAGACTTTTATCAGCCCAGAAAAGGCACTAAGGGAATCTGCAAATAAACCTTACTGGGGTGTCTGGGTGGCTCAGTTGCTTAAGTGTCACTCTTGATTTTGGCTCAGGTCATGATCTCAGGGTGGAGAGATAGAGCCCTGTGTTGCTGGCTGTTCTGGGCATGGTGCTTGCTCTTTCCCTTTCCTTCTCCACCCCGACCCCTGCAAATTGAGCATGCTTGCATGGTGTACACTTTCTCTCCCTCCCCCCCCCCTCTCAAAAAAAAGTCTCAAAAAAAAAGTCCATCAATTTCCTTCTGTATATTTACCCTCCCTTAGTTTTCCACCCTTGGAAGCCTAAACTACTTTCTTTGGTACAATCATTTAGCTGCGAACTTGTTGTTCTTTGTTAAAGATGCTATATAAGCCAAAATTCTAAGCAACTGCTTTGAGTTACTCTTTGTTTGAGGCCTCTCATGTGATGTGTGCTGTCCACATTTATTTTTTATCTTGTTTTTTATCTTGTTAATCTGTCTTCTTGTTAAAGAGTCCCAGCTGAAAACCTAAAATGGGTAGAGGTACAGATTTACCTTCCCTACATGACAGAAAAAAATATAGGTAAATTTTCCTTCCTTAAAATTAAAGATTATAGTGCTTCAAAAGTTACATCAAGAAAATGAAAAGACAACCTGCAGAGTAGGAGAAAATATGTGTAAACTATCTACCCAATAAGGCTCTAGTCTTTAAAATATATTAAAAAATGCTTACAACTCAACAATAAAAAATAACCCAATTTTTAAAAAATAAGGAAGAACTAAATAGACATTTTCCCAAAGAAGATATACAAATGGTTGGCAAGTAGATAAAAAGGTCACTAGTCATTAGGGAAATGTAAATCAAAACCACAATGACATGCACTAGAATAGCTATGATGAGAAAGACCGACAACGAGTATTGATTAGAAAGTGGAGAATTGGTGCCTTCATACATTTCTGGTGGTACTGTCATATTGTAGAGCTCCTCGGGAAATCAGTTCCTCAAAAAGTTAAAACGTAGAGTTACCATGTGACTTGGTAATTTCACTTTAAGATACATACCCCCAAGAGAAATGAAAAGATATGGTCATAAAAACTTGTATGAGAATATTCATAGCAGCATTATTTATAATAGCCAAAAAGTAGAAGCAACTGAAATGTCCATTAACTAATAAATAAAATGTGGTATATCCATACCATAAAATATTATTCACTCACAAAAAAGAATGAACTACAGATAAATGCTATAGCATGGATGAACCTACGAACATTATGCTAAGTGAAAGTCAGACACGGAAGATCGTATACAATACGACTCCATTTATATGAAATTTCTAAAATATGCAAAGAGACAGACAGTAGTTTAGTGGTTGCTGGGGAGGGTGGGAGTAGGGGGAAGTGGGAAGTGATTGGTAAGAGATATAGGGTTTCTTTATGGGGTGATAAAAAATGTTCCAGAATTCGATACTGGTGATGGTTGCAGAATCTTGTGAGTATCCTAAAAACCATTGAATTGTACACTTCAAAAGAGTGACTATTATGGTATATGAATTATACTAATGGAAGAAAAGTGATTGAAAATGATGACTACTTACCTTCATCTTTAATTGTTGTAGTTAATGAAGAAAGTGTGGGCAGCAAAGATGAATTTAAGGATTCTTTATTTGCTGTTCCTAGTTTGATAAGATAGATGACATTATTATTAATCACAATTTCATCTCACCTGCCAAGGAACAAATAAAAGTCAGTCAAATCTGGAGGTGAACTACAATCCCTCTGCAGAGGTACTGGGTCAGCCTTTGCCTATCTTTAATTTTCTACTTTCTATCTCCTTTTGTCTGAAATAAGGAATATAAGTACTGAAAACTTGGGATGACCCAGTGAAAGCACACACACACACACACACACACACACACACACACACATTTTTTCTGTGATAGGCCCCTAAAGCAAATTTTCACTGCAGATAGTTACTTGGGTATCTTTAAATATATATATTAAAAACAAATATTTTAAAATTATTTTGTTTTTCCTAAAGAGAAAAATAACCTAGTCAATAGAACTTTCACATCCCACCCAGAATTACATTTCATTTTGCTGATTTAGTTATGACATTGGAACCTCCCAAATTACATAAATCATAAAGGAGTTTGCAAACTATTGTAATTAATTTGTCCGTTTATGAAACATTCATTGAGTTTCCCAGTCAAATGGGTGCAAGACCCATTTCTAGATTCTTGAAGGCAGTAGTTAACTCTTAGTCATCTCTTTAATCTGAGTAGTATCAAGGTTAATTCCTGGCATATGGTAGGCAAGTAGTAAACTTGTAGCTACTCATACAGGACATGGGGACCAACAAAAAGACGAAGATCCTCTTTAAGTAGTGAATAGGACTTAACAGTTTGACACCTGTAATTGTCAACATTCCCGTCTTAAAACACGTTAGGATACCCTTTTGTGATTAGGACATAATGTTCCATTTTTACTATGTGGCATATATAAAATCCCAGAATGCGCACTGTTTTGGTGGGGGAGGGGAGGAAAAATTTGGTTCTGGACAGTTTAACACTTTAAAACCCATCCAGAAGAGAGTTGTCAAGGTTAAGCTGGCTGGAGCTGTATATCGGAAAATACTAAGGAATGACAAGGAAGTTAAGACCTTTGGAGGAACACTGTGGACACACGCCTCCAAGCAGGGGGTGAAGGATTTGTCTTCTGTCCCTCTGTCCTCACCACTTATTAGAGGACCTCGGTTATTATAGAAATGGAAAGTGGCTGTAACAGGTGGATTCTGTGAATTATAACATGGAGATTGGTGAAGCACTTAAGAGTTTCTCAAAGTCTTCTACACCCAATATGTGGTTATATTTTAAAAGAAGAAACCAACAAAGGAAACGTTATTCCTAAAAGCTAGGTTTGGGATTTTGCATTGCCCACTCACACAATGCCATCTTAAAGTAAAGATGTAATGATACAAATGAAGTGTCCCTTCCAGCCAGGTGTGGCGCCTTGGTTTTCACTTCATCACTACCAGTCTTGGAATCTTGGTACCAATAAGAGGCTGACTTGAATTTTTACAGTCACCTTGTTTCCTGTGTTTCACTGGTATATGTCTCATATATCGCTTGAAAATTCAAGAATGGGGAAGATTACAGGAAATAATTAGGACACATATAACAATAATCATGAATATAAACAGAAAAAGTATCAACTGTGCATAATTCTTGGGTTTCTGAGGACCTTGCCCCCCCCCCCCTTTTTAATAGCTATCCTGACTTCATGTTTGATAGAGGGAAGATGTGTAACAAATTTGAGCTTTGGCCCACACATTCAGCCCAAATCTGTTTGGCTTCAGTTTCAGCCTTGGTCTTTGGAAAAGCAAGAGGTAAATGGCTATCCATTTCTGGTGTTCCTGAGCTTGTGTGTGAACAGTGATCTTGTGATCATGCCCATGATCATTGTAACTAATCAATATAACTCTATCTATAGCAAAACAGAGCACAATTTATTTTAGCTTTATTGTTAATGTATGAATATTCACTTTCAAATATGGATAAGCAATCTACATATAACTTACAATAAAATTCTTCTTATGTGTTAAATATGTTGAAATTCTGAAGTATAAATGCATCCTTATTATTGTAAAAATCATCAGGGTTTAAAGAAAATGTCTAATTTATAAGCATTTTATATCTCGTGAGTATAAACTAAAAGCAAATGTCAGTTTGGCCACCACAAAATTCCATGACAAGGAAACAACAAAAAAATTTGTACAAAGATATCCCAGGTAAGTCATTTCCACTTCAAACTTGGTCGGGCCTGGTTAGTACTTGGATGGGAGTCCACTTCAAACTCAATAAGGAATGTAAAGACAATGGAGAACAGAAGGAAGATATGGAGAAAAACATGGTACCCAAAACTTTTTTTGCCCCCAATATTATAAGAAAGCTTAGAAGACTGTCTTTCATACAGTCTGTTCTTTCCAGTTTTATGGTAGTCAGGTTCCAGAGAGGACGTCCATCATAAACGTCACCATAACTGGCACGCTATACGGAAAAGATGGCCAAAATTACCTGGCCCCTCTACTGACCTCAGTTGGAACTGAACATCTATTGAGTATCAGAAATGTGAAATATTAGTGCTGACAAATTAATTCAGCTAATTAAAGAATGTTTGACTCTTAAGTGCTTTAAAAATCAAGCTGAGGGGCGCCTGGGTGGCTCGGTCGGTTAAGCGGCCGACTTCGGCTCAGGTCATGATCTCGCGGTCCGTGAGTTCGAGCCCCGCGTCGGGCTCTGTGCTGACAGCTCAGAGCCCGGAGCCTGTTTCAGATTCTGTGTCTCCCTCTCTCTGACCCTCTCCCGTTCATGCTCTGTCTCTCTCTGTCTCAAAAATAAATAAACGTTAAAAAAAAAATTTAAAAAAAATCAAGCTGAATAAGTTATGTTTTAAGAATAAAATTTCAGGTTTATTTTTGTATCTTAGAAGTTGATTTTATGATGATGGCATTCAATGTATGCCAAATGTTGATTCTAACTCTGGCCACTTGGCCTTCGAGCAAAATGGGCAGTGCACTTGGTACATATCTAGGAAGAGATCAGGTCCCATCCTTCTAACTCAGGAAGCCTCTGAAAGCAAGCCCTCCTCCAAGCAAAGCTCCATTAGTCACCTCTGCCACTGTGGCCATGTCGTTGCAAGAGTGCCTATCTCACTAGCACATATTCCACTTCTCTAATGGTAAAATTTCTGCCATGGTCAAGGGAAAGAAAATTTACGTGCTTTAGATAGATATAAGCACTATTAAATCAGGTACCTTTTGACCTTTAAGCAAGAAAATCTGACTTGGGAGGCCTTAAAAGGAAAAAAAAAAAAAAAAGAAGCGTCTCTATGTTGCTTTTTTTTTTTGTTTTTGTTTTTGGTAAATACTTTTATCGTGTCTAAAATGCCCATGGTGCCCATGAGGAAAGTAGACTAGAATCATTTTATCATAGATACACTTTTCCAATATTATTATGGTTGTTGTGGAGGATGAAACAACGTATAAAACTCCCCCAGATTTAAACTCCTCCCAAGCCTGAAGTCAGGAAGCCACGTATACTGATACACTACTTAGAATATGAGAATTTGAAACAACTTTTACATTATCTTTGTATTAATTACATTACCTTTAACAGCATGGGCAATATCCAGTCTGTGTGTGTGTGTGTGTGTGTGTGTGTGTGTGTGTGTATATATATACATATATATGTGTGTATATATATATATATATATGTATATATATATATATATATATATATATATCTCCATCCAAATATATATATTGGCACACAGCCCAACCCACCCATGTTTTTAATACAAAAGTGGTGATCAAATAAGCCAGACAAACAGGAGCTCCTTTATCTGTCTTCCTTGTCCATGTTCCCTCATTTTCCTATAAGCACAATGGACCATCCTCTGACCGATGTCTCCACTGGTCCCTACTACCATGCTGGACTTTCTGCTTCTTATACCAAATTAGAGAGTAGATTATAGACATCCTAGCCTGCCTTTCTTTCTTTTTCTCTTCTGCGCCAGCACCTTCTCAGCTGATTTCTGGAGAGACTCCACGATGGACTTCATTCCTTCCCTTAATCTCTCTCCCACTGCCATATCCATGCTTACTAGATGTTAACCCTTATAACCCCTCTAAAGAGACATTAGATTCAACCGAGGCATTAGCATTATTAATCTGGTGGATTTGGTAGTGATATTGTAGTTTCACGATAAAGCATCCATATTTTTTGAGGTGGACATTTAGTGGGTGAAGAAAATGGCAAAAAGTCTGAATTTCCTTAAAAACACCAGATAATAGCAAAAAACAAATAAACAGGAAGAAAGAAAAAAAGGAAAAGGAAGGAAAGAAAGGAAGATAGAAGGGAACAAGGGAGGGAGGGAGGAGAAAGGAAAAAATGAAGCAAATATGATAAAATCTTGATAATTATTGATTCTGGTAGATGGGTAAATGGGTATTAATTATAGTATTCTTCGTTTGTGGTACATCTCAACATTTTTGTAATAAAAAGTAATAAAAAGAAAAGCTTCACTGGCCTATTACAATTTGTACAATTGAATGTGAATAATTTAAAGGTCATGTGGGAGAACTTTTGAAGAACACAGATTGAAGTTTAGTTTTCGTCAACTGAGTAATATACAGCAATCAAAGTGTCCAAAGAAGAGAAATAGAGAAAGATATATACGTGTGTGTATGTGTGTGTGTATCTGATTTCAAGTGCTTTACCAAGTGAATTGTTTCAGACAAGGGGCTTCAGGGTCCCCTACAGGATCCTCCAGTGATGAAGTTATTAGGATAGTCTCCTAAGTGTATGAGTAGGTATAGAGTTTCCCTTCCCAGCCTGAAAGGAAAGATGCATTTCTGGGGTCACAAATGACAATTCTGCCTGAATCCCTTCACTGAACCCTTCACCTCTGACCTTTCATGGCCTTTTAACATAGTCGTTGTGTTATTTGGACATTGTTCACCACCACAGGTCACTGAGGAATGGGCTAGGAATCCTCTCACTGGGAAGGCGTGAGTTCCAAGGAGTTCATGTAAAAATTGTAAAACTTCAACCTTTTGAGTCCGCATGCAATGTCAGTACCTACCTTCTCTTTATTGGTACTTTTTGGGGGATGTTATTGATAACAAAAATAACACGCTTTTACCGCATTGGTGCAATTTTATGTCAAGAACTCAGCTGACCACTCACAGAAAGAGTGACAGAAAGAGACAGAGAGAAGCAGCAAATACTTACACTTTGTCAAAGTTCTAGAATGCCTCTGCTTAAGCCTCCAGAACATAGGACTGAAATAATTTTTAAAAATAAAATAAAAAATCTATTGTGCAGGAGTTGGCTGCAGGCTTCATGAACCCTAGTTTTTTTGACTGTGTCATTTGGAGTTTCCCTTGGTTGGCAATAACGGTTGTACCACATTCTGGGGATAAAATCCACTGTGCTTTTCCTCTTTGTGCAATGCTTTCTCCTGGTTTGGTAGAGACGTTGTAGAAGAATTGGTTTGGTTTCATCTTAGAATTGCACATTTCAGAAATAGTGGACTATATTCATCATACTCTTTTTCTTTGAGGATCACCATCCCTTTTAAGTCCAGTGAACTAGCCCTCGTGTCCTCTACATGTACTTGAATTTGGTGTTGGAATGAAAAATGAAGAGTAAGTAGAGAGGTGAGAAAAAGAGGTGAGAAAGAAATTCATTCATCTCCTCATTAGGGTGTGTGATTCAGATCTTCCTCTGACCTTAGCATTCTAACTGGAATTTCTGCCCATAAATGATAAATGATAAATGATAAATGACACCTGCTGCCCAGGTGTCATTCAGTCCATTAACAATAATGATGACATGGGTCGCATGGGTGGCTCAGTTGGTTAAGCAGCAGACTCTTGATTTCGACTAGGTCATGATCTCACAGTTCGTGGGTTTGGGTACCAGGTCAGGCTCCGTGCTGCAAGTGTGGAGCCTGGAATTCTCTCTCTCTCCCTGTGCCTCACTCCCAAAATAAATAAATAAACTTTAAAAAAAAATAGTGATAGCATTGCTATCGAACCTTACAAATTAAATCTATCATCAGCCCTATGCAACTAACAGATCAATCTGTTATTAATACAGTTTTACCTTGTTAACTGTGCTGCTTAAGTGGACAACTGGAATGTTTAGAAACATATTTTTATGACGAAGGAAATGGTAATTTTTTTATTTTCTAAAAATAAACTTTGTGTATGCAACATTCACAATAGGATTATTTTCAAACAGGAAATGATCCAAAAGAATATCATCAAAGAAGCCCACTGCCATCTCAGGGCTTTGTATGCAACCCAAAATAACATGTAAGTTTCAAAAGAGTGAAGCAGCACAGACCTTCATAATAATAGATACAGCACATCAAATTATTTTTCTGTGATCAGATTATGTAGATGCTACTAATTTTATTTGTTACAGTTAGAATAAATTTCACTAATTGCTAATCCTACCTTTAGGAGACGCTCCCGATGTTGATTCCAAAACAGGATTTGGTGTTATGCTTGATGTTGATACAGATATTTCTGTTGCACGAGTTGATGGTGATACACCAGTGATTGTGTTGTTAACACCTGAAAAAAATAGCTTATGTTAAAGCAGCTGCATTGAAGTTTACAATTTATTTTGCCAAATAACACTAGTATATTTAAGCAAAGTAAACTGTATGTATACGGCTGCTAACCCAGTAAGCAGGGCATGGATTTGAAATTAATTTTCTAATTGTAATGAATTCAGCCTTCAGTTCAATATTCATTCACTAACTCCGCCTGCCTCTCACCAACGACGTGAATTTTCAAGAGAGCCGGCAGGAGCAGTCTATAGCTCTGAAACAAAATGATTCCTGAAACACTTAGGAGGAATAAATGTATAAATTGAAATTTGACAATTTTTTTATTAAAAAAAATTTTTTAACGTTTATTTATTTTTGAGAGAGAGAGAGACAGAGCATGAGCAGGGGAGGGGCAGAGAGAAAGGGAGACACAGAATCCGAAGAAGGCTCCGGGATCTGAGCTGTCAGCACAGAGCCCGATGTGGGGCTTGAACCCATGAACTGTGAGATCGTGACCTAAGCCAAAGTCGGCTGTTTAACCGACTGAGCCACCCAGATACCACTAAATCGGACAATATTTTTAAGCCCACTTCACTAACGTTGTGAGATGAACTAATTAAATGGATTTTCTCTGGGCAGTGGATGTTTTACTAAATATTTTCATAGAACACTGGAATTATTAAGTAGTAAAATGTCCGTATTCATACATCTCTTCTTGATATAAAGCATTCCCTCCACTCTCTTTTTCTATAAACATTCCAAAGGAATAAAATATATTTCATTTTTGATTTTTAAAAAATTTTTAAAGAAAGACCATACATTTTATTATTTATTTTTATTTATTAAATGATTTAGTTCTCTAAATTGGAACAATCAAAGGCACAAAGATGAAGATGATAATTATTAGGTATATTACATATTTAGTTTTAATAATTCCTTTTTGGCAGTAGAAGTCAATATTTAATAGTAAGTTTTAAATTTTCATTGAAATATTTATTCGAAGTGAAGTATATAGAACTTAATTCTCAGTGATTTATGGAAATATTTGTTTTACACAATATTATTGAATTTGTTAGCATTTATAGAATCCTTTTAATCTTGCATTTGTTGGTCTTGTCTCTATACAGTCACTGTCGTGTTAAAGATCAGAAAATAGCAAACAAAAATGTATAAAGGTCTTGGACAAAGTATTCACGTGCTGTGCTGTTACTTCATCTGTATAGAGTATATATAGTATAGCATGTTAGTTAAGAGTATGGACTTCGAGTGACAAAGACAAGTTTCAATGCCAGTCAAATTGGGTATGTCATTGCAGTAAATACATTGACTTCTCAAATTTAAATTTCATCCAAGATTTTCCTCTTTGAATTTGGGAAAAACCAATAATCTTGCACAGTTGTGAGCAATATTTACAGGTGTCATGAAATAGAATACGCTTCCTGTTTCATTTTATAGACTTGAGGTACTTGGAAGTTTTAGCACTTGGCACTGACTTTGTTTATAGGCAGTACACAGAAATTGCTTGATGTATTCAACACATACAGATTTGTTCAGCACATTCAGGAATGACAGAACTGCCTTTTCACAGGCTTTACAGAAGTCAAGTCAAAAGCTTTTTTCACCTCTGGGTGCACTTCACACCCTCGGTCTCAACCCCTTCCCCCAGTAGGGAGAAGGAACATAGCATGCGTGAGGTTATCTTTTCTCTGTCAGTCATTTTGTTCTATCTTTCTTTTCATCCCAGAATCTTTGATGTAACACTCATTTCTAAGTTGAAACTGAAGTTGAAGAAAGTTATTCAAAGAAGCACATTCCACTTTGACTGGAAAATTCACCTGTAAATAACTTAAATGATCCCTACCTGTCAACTTGCTAAATAGTAGCAATCTCAATTTCTGAGTATAATCAACATCCCTGGAGACCTTTTTCCTATTTCTTTCCTCCCTCCCTCCGTTCCCCCTTTCCTTCTTCCCTTTATTTTTTGCTTCTATAAATAGTTACTGCATAACTAATATGGAAAGCATGATAAGATCTAATAAAAGACTCTATGTTGTACCACATGGTATCACCCATGAGTAGCTCTCAGTCTGTTAAGGAACATAATGCCTACACACAATAAATAATCAAGGATATTCTGTATGGGTTGTGTAGACCAGTGTTTTTCAAACTGCAGGTTATGAAATAATTAAAGAGTAATTAAAATCTAGTTAGTAGATTACAGTCAGAGCTTTTGCCAAATAAAAGAGGAAAAAACATTAGAGTGATATTGCAGATAATGAGGGTAAGTATTGTTTCATGAAGTTTGTGCACGTGTGTGTGTGTGTGTGTGTGTGTGTGTGTGTGTATTTGAATAAAACATTTGTCAGTGCACAATATGTTTCCTGCTGTGATTCCAGCTAAAAATTTGAAAGCTACCGGACAAGAAATTGGGCAAGAGTTTATAAGATAAAGGATGACCACCATGTTGACATGAGCAAGGACTCCATTATGAATGAGCTGACATAGGAGCTAGGGCTTGAAGAGTAAGTAACACATCCACATAGCTAGAAGAAGGGGTATGGACAAACGTCTGGAAGGGAAGTCAGAGGTGATTGAGCACCTTGCAAACAGTTGTATCTGGTTGGATTGCTGTATGCTCTGAAAGAGCATAGTTGGCCTTGTCTGGTACAATGCTGGCAGCTAGATCATAAAGGACCTTGAACACCAAGCCAGGGACTTGAATCTTTATTAAGTAAGGAGCCATGCAAAGTGACCAAATAGAAATTCCACTGTAGGAGAAACAACGGGGAAGTGGGTGGGGCAGAGAATGAGACAGCGCTAACCGAACTGATCTGCAAGTCCCATTTTTATGTTTACCAATGTCCATGACCTTTTGAAGTCATCACGTGAGATTAGTGAGTTCATATCCATAAAATGACTTGAGGCAAACTAAAAGCAGGCAAAATTTTAACCACTGTGTGGTAAGATTGGGAGGTACTGGGAGGCTTTTCCTCCTTACCATACTTCAACCCATTTGGCTACTGAGTTCCCTGAGTAAACTCTTAATCCAGTAGCACTCATTCATGTCTTTGTTATTAGTTCTTCAGACTGTCCATCAAAGAGAATGCCCTCCTTTGGCAAAGACTGACAAACAGCCTGTGAAAGTATTGAGTGTCTCTATGTGCCAGGTGCCATGTGAGCACTTTCTGTGGATTGTTTCCTTTAATCCTAAAAAGATACTGTGGTGCCCATACTTGTATGATCAGCACTTTACAGATGAAGACAGTGAGGTTCAAAAAAGATGAGCAACTTGCCCACACTACACAGTGGGAAGTAACACAGTTGCAATTTTAACCCGGAACCCCTTGAATCTTTACTCTTACCCACCACAGATCTTGCCATGGGAAGGTGGTTCCATGCAAAGCCACATACTTCTGCTCTGCCTTTCATGGGGTGTGATATTACAGGGGTAGAAGTGACTTAGATGCACAGATGTTTTGCCCTTATGTATCTAAGATGAGGAAGCAGACAAAATACCTCACTGTTTTTTTTTTCTTTAAAAAATATCATTTTGTCATATACATTACATACATACACATACAAAATGTGTCCCTCCATAAACATCCATAAAATAGACTTAGAGCTCCGAAGGAAATTTCCAATCTACTAAAGCTATTTATGTTTGAAAAATAAAAATAGAGATTTACTCAGTTGGAAAATTCCGCAAATAGAAACGTTCTTCTATTATATGGTGGGAAAGAATTATTCTAAGTACCACTGTTGAAGGTTTTATTGACCACGATGCAAGTAACCACCAGTTATGCTTTTACAGCATTTTCTATAAATTTCCCTTAGGTCGATCTGGTCTCCTAATAAACTATTGAGGATAATGGCTCATTCTGAAATATTTTCTCTTCACAAGACATGATGAGGTAGCATTTCATTTTTCTTTATCTCCAAAGTAATTAAAGACAAATTTAACAAGAAGACCTGTGCTTCGCCTCTTTGCTTATGTCTAACCAAATAGTGCTGTTCTTAGGATGCTATAAGGAAAACAGATGGCATTTTATCCTGATTCCACCCTAGACTGAGAGAGTACAATAGATACAATGACACTAGTTTCCCATACTATTAAAGGATGAAGCAGGATTGGGATTTTTACAAAAGTAACTATTTTAATTACAGAAATCATGAGAATTTGGAAAATCTAGCTTACAGATGAAAACCAGGTATCGTATTTTTTCCTATTTTCAAATGATCTGGTCATCTACTCCAGTCTTCTTAGATGTACTTTGTTATTACGTTTCTAAGTATTCACAAGTAGTCTCTAAAAGTTAACATTTTAGGGGTACCTGGGTGGTTCAGTCAGTTAAGCTACTGACTCTTGATTTCGGCTCAGGTCATGATCTCATGATTCATGGGATTGAGCCCCATGTCAGGCTCTGCATTGACAGCACAGAGCCTGCTTGGGATTCTCTCTTTCTCTCTCTCTGCCCCTCCCTGCTTGCTCTCTCTCGCTTTTGAAATAAATAAAAACTTAAAAAAAAAGAACATAAAAGTTAGAGTGTCATCCATCCTCATAATGAGCAGGTATCTCTCTAGTTATCTTTTCCCCTACCAAGTCTATAAGCAAAGTCCACTGGAAAACCACTACTAGAGAAGGTAGATCTTACTTCCTCTAGATGAACACAAACACTGGATGACAGTACCTTAGAATTCTAAGACTTGAGTCCTCAAAAGAACTTCTAAAAATATCCTATTGTAACAGAAACGCTACATTTTATAGCTTAGGAAATGTATGAGTTTAAGATAGTTTCAAAAGATCATAGCAATAGTTACTAAAAAAGTTCCCTTAATTCCCAGTTGAGCACTCTGTATTATGTAACAGAGAAAACCTTTTTTCCCCCCATTCTACTAAATGGAATACATTTCTGATGGAGACAATGCCAAAGTTTCCCTTTGAACTACAGGAGAAAAGATTTACTTTGCGAGTTTTATCCATAAACAAAATTTCAGAATAAAGTTTTAAGCTCTTTAAGGAAA